GACATCCTCGAATGCTTGGTTGAGGTGACTGGGTTCACAAGATTAGTGGAAGTGGGGGAGGTGCAAAGATGGGGTGAGTCTGGGCATGTTCTTCTTACTCTATCTGGAGCACAGAATGCCACTAGTAACTCCAGAAAGCTGTGTTTCCCACAGACTAGACTCTGTTTACTCAGTGATGGATGCAGATGCTCAAAGTTCTGACCAGAACAGAAGATTCTTTTTTTTTTTTTTTTTTTTTTTGTGATTTGGGTTAAAATTTACAGAGCAATTTACAGCAGTTCACATACACTTTGTCTTATGACATTGCCCACGGTTTACCACAATGCAACAGCTCGCCTCCCACTTCCTCCCGAAAGTTACCTCTTCCCTGTGTCTATCCCTCCATGCACTCCTGCCCCCGAGCTGTCTCCCTGTACATATGCAGCCCTTCTTTCTCCCATGATTGTTCTCCCTCTAAGGAGTATATCTACATCAGGTAAATGTTCAACTCATATGCCTGTCTTTTGTTTGGCTGGAAGCCACAGGTATGGGTTCAATTTCAGCCCTGAAGGGAAGTTAGGGGCCATAGTCTCAGTGGTTCCACTAGGCTCTATCGGACCAGAAAACCTGGCCCACCCCCTTTTTTCTCTCCAAATGAATTTGAGTTTTGTTCTACATTGTTCTCCCTCTCTATCCAGGATCTCCTACATAGATCACCTTCCAAGTGGTTGACAGTAGTAGCCAGGCACCATCTAGTTCTTCTGGTCTCATAGTCATATAGGCTGAGGATTGCATGGTGTACCAGTCACTAGGACTGATTGTTTCCATTAATTTTGGCTTTCTTCTTTCTTCTTTGCTCTGGATGAGGAGAGACCCATCATTGCATCTAGATGGCAGCTTGCTAGCTTTTAAGATCCCAGTCACTACTCGCCAAAGTAGGAGGTAGAACAATGTTTTGTGTGGTATGTTATACCAATTGAGCTTGATGTCCCCTGTGACTATGGTTCCTAGACCACAGGTTCAACTACTTGTTCCCTCTGGGTAGCTGGCTGTGACCAAGAAGTGACTACAACCTTGCCCCTTGTCAGCTCTACTATACACCTGGGAATTCAGATCATACAAATACTCCTATAGGACCATTGTCTGCCAACCCTATACATGGTCTTGGGTACACTCCCTGCTTCACAGACATACCTACTAGTTCAGCCTGTCCACCCATCTATCCACCCATATCAGAACAGCAGATTCTTCAGACCAAGGAGTGTGCTTTTCTTCTCAGAGTGCCAGTTTGATAGGCAATTAAAACATTTGCTATCTAAAAGAGGAGGGGGGTGGATGACGAAGGCCTGAAGGGATGGCTTACATGTTTTCACATGTGTGTGTCCACTTTCAGCATGAGCGGGTCAAGGGAGGAGCCTCACTGGATACATTTATCTTTTCCTCACAAAACAGCTCACAAACTACAAGTCTGCTATGGGTCTGGGGAAGAAGGGATGTGGAGGATGCTGATATGACTATATGATTCAACTATGATGATTAAGTTGTAATCATGAACAACTGTAATTGTGAAGGTTGTGGTTGTGAAAACTAATTGTAAAACTGTAGCTGTGCAGATGGAGTACACAGCTGTGCAGTGGACTTTGCCAGATGGAGTACACAGGAATCAGATCAACTACATCTGTGGAAAGAGGCAATGGAGAAGTTCAATGTCTTCAGACAAAACAAGAGCAAGAGCTGACTGTAGAACAGACCATCAACTGCTCATATGCAAGTTCAAGATGAAGTTGAAGACAATTAAAACAAGTCCACGAGAGCCAAAATATTACCTTGATTATATCCTTCCTGAATTTATAGAAAATCTAAAGAATAGATTTGAGGCATTGAATACCAATGACCGAAAACCAGAGGAATTGTGGGATAACATCAAGAACATCATCCATGAAGAAAGCAAAAGGTCATTAAAAAGACAAGAAAGGAAGAAAAGACAAAAATGAATGTCAGAAGGGCCTGTGATACTTGCCCTCGAACAAAGAGTAGCTAAAGTAAATGGAAGAAATGACAAGATAAGAGAACTGAACAGAAGATTTCAAAGAGCAGCTTGAGCAAAGTCAATTATTACAATGAAATGTGTAAAGACATGAAGTTAGAAAACCAAAAGGGAAGAACATGTTCAGCATTTCTCAAGCTGAAAGAACTGAAGAAAAAATTCAAGCCTCAAGTTGTAATACTGAAATATTCTATGGGCAAAATATTGAATGATGCAGGAAACATCAAAAGAAAATGGAAAGAATACACAGAGTCATTGTACCAAAAAGAATTGGTCGATGTTCACCCATTTAAGGAGGTGACATATGATGATCAAGAACGAATGGTATTAAAGGAAGAAGTCAAAGCTGCACTGGAGGAATTGGCAAAAAACAAGTCTCCAGGAATTGATGGAATACCCATTGAGGTGTTTCAACAAATGGATGCTGCGCTGGAGGCGCTCACTCATCTATGCCAAGAGATTTGTAAGACAGCCGCCTGGCCAACTGACTGGAAGAGATCCATATTTATACCCATTCCAAAGAAAGGTGATCCCACAGAATGTGGAAATCATTGAACAATATTATTGATATCACACACAAGTAAAATCTTACTGAAGATAATTCAAAAACGATTGCAGCAGTATATTGACAGATAACTTCCAGAAATGCCAGCTGGATTCAGAAGAGGACAAGGAATAAGGGATATCATTGCTGATGTCAGATAGATCTTGGCTGCAAGCAAAGAATACCAGAAAGATGTTTACTTGTGTTTTATTGACTATGCAAAAGCATTTGATTGTGTGGATCATAACAAATTATGTATAACATTGAGAAGAAGGGGATTCCAGAACACTTAATTGTGCTCATGAGGAACTTGTACGTAGACCAGGAGCTTGTCATTGGAACAGAACAAGGGGATACTGCATGGTTTTAAGTCAGGAAGGGAGTGCATCAGGGTTGTATCCTTTCACCTTATTCAATCTGTATGCTGAGCAAATAATCCTAGAAGCTGGATTATATGAAGAAGAACATGGCATCAGGATTGGAGGAAGAGTCATTAAAACCTGCGATACATAGATGACACAACTTTGCTTGCTGAAAGTGAGGATGACTTGAAACACTTGCTGGTGAAGATTAAAGACTACAGTCTGCAGTATGGATTACACTTAACATAAAGAAAACAAAAATTCTCACAACTGGGCCAATAAGCAGCATCACGATAAATGGAGAAAAGATTGAAGTGGTCAAAGATTTCATATTACTTCGTTCTACAATCAACACCAATGGAAGCAGCAGTCAAGACAACCAACGACATATTGCACTGGGCAAATCTGCAGCAAAGACCTCTTTCAAGTGCTGAAGAGCAAAGATGTCTTCTTGAAGACTAAGGTGTGCCCAACCCAAGCCATGGTATTTTCAATCACCTCATATGCATTTGAGAGCTGGACAATAAGGAAGAACACAGAAGAGTTGATGGTTTTGAGTTGTGGTGTTGGTGAAGAATACTGAAAGTACTGTGAACTGCCAGAAGAATGAACAAATCTGTCCTGGAAGAAGTGCAGCCAGAATGCTCCTTGGAAGCAAGAATGGCCAGACTTCATCTCACCTACTTTGGTCATGTTTTCAGAAAGGACCATTCCCTAGAGAAGGATATCATGCTTGGTAAAGTGGAGGGTCAATGAAAAAGGGGAAGGCCCTCAACAAGATGGATTGACACAGTGGCTACAATGATGGACTCAGGTATAGCAAGGATTGTGAGGCTGGCACAGGACCTGGCAGTGTTTCATTATGATATATATGGGGTCGCTATGAGTTGGAGACATTTTAATGGCACCTGACAACAGCTGTGCAGGTACCTGAAAGGAAAAAGCCAAGACCATATGGAGGCCTGCAGCAGATCAGAGTGACCTTTGCCTGAGAAGAGTTTTTGCTATGGACTGGACTAATTGTTGATGCCTGATTTAGGCTGGGATTGTGACACTGATATCTTTATAGACAAATGTTAAGCATGTGAAAGAACCATGACCAGTGGGCCAGGGGGTGAACTGTGAGATATAGAACCCCTTTAGACACCACAAACAATTTGGCCTTTGATTCTAGTTTCTGAGAGGCAGACCGCTCCTTAGGCTAGTGAGTGGGAATTTACCAGACCAAGAGAGACCACCTGGGTGCTGATTCTGATTAAGCCTCAGAAGATATGATGCAGTGGATCATGGCCATGTGGTGAGGTTGATAAATGGCCTTAGAAGACAGGGTTTAGCATCAAGGCCTCAACAGAGTTTCCTGGGTGGAGAGACTCAACCTCTTTTCGGGAGGGAAGGGAACACCTGGGGACATAGAAGCTCTGAACTGAGACTCCTCCTGAACCTTGCCTTTGTTTTCACAGCCTTTTTCCTTCTAGATTAACAATAACCTTTTTCTTGCATTTTGTGAGTTGTTTCAACAGTTTGTCAAACCTAAGACCTAAAACACAGACAGGGCTGGTGCCCATTGACCTAGGAGATATGCGAGAAATGGCTGCACTGTTCAGCTGGAGACTGAACTAACCAGGGAAGAGAAGCTGAGATTTCCTTGGACTGGTTTGGTATTACAGCTTTGTGCAGAAAAACAAAAAGAAAGGAAAGATCAGTATAACATTTAAAAACATTGCCTGCCACTAGAGACTAAGGCACACTTTGGAATCAGAGACCTTCATTTGAATCAAGTTCTATAAAATAATAACTGATGACAACAGTAGATCATAAAACTTTTTGAGCCACCACTTCCCTCTGTGAGATGAAGGTGACAACTTATGTTTCTGAGAGTTATTGTTAGGATCAAAACCTAAATATGACATCGGTTCACATGCTATATTTCTACTTATATTCTCTATGTTCCAAGTTTTTGATAAATGTCATATTACATTTTCAGAGTGAAAAAAACTTGTTTAAAACTCTCACTGTCATGGCCCTGACAATGTCTGAACCCCTGTTTCCAGGAGGCCCACTTCCCTACCTGGATATTGTAAACAACGTCTTTGAACAGCACCGACCGCTGGGTCCACGTGCCCACCAGCTCCATGGCCCTGTCGAAGTTCTTGACATACTCGCCGTACATCTTGAGAAATGGAGCCAGCTTCTGCAGGATGTCCCCGAGCCGGGGATTCACATCCCTTTTTGGAGAGTCAGAGCAGCAGAGAAACAGCTTGAGATGAGGCATGAGGGGATACTATAATCAATGGACACCAACCTTCCCCAAGAGGTACCCCAGTGGTACAGTGGTTAAGCGCTCAGCTGCAAACCAAAAGGTCAGCAGTTTGAACCTACCAGCTCCTCTGTAGGAGAAAGATGTGCAGGCTGTTTCCATAAAGATTTACAGTCTCAGAAATACTATGGGACAGTTCTACTCTATCATATGAGGTCATCATGAATTGGAATCAATGCAGTGGCAACTGGTTTGATTTGGTTTTTGGTCTTAACCTTCCCTGGGGAGTCACAGACTGTAGCCAAGACACCCCAGATAGGACTCCCAGCTCTGTGTAACAGTGGGCAGAATAATCAACCTCTCTGAAACATAATTTCCTCCCCTATGTAATATGGGGCAGGGGGAAATGTTTGTTCCTGGGAGACAAAATGACAGAGTGTACACAAAACACCTCAGCAATGGCAGGCCCAGAATCACTGCTCAAAAAGGAGGAAAATTTAGCAGAAACAGAGCCACAGCTTTCAGAGAGAATTAATGAAATACGATTCTACTTCTAAATTAGCCAAAAGTAGAAATAGGAACACCCAGCAGAACACTCAGTGCTGGCAGAGTTACAGGAAAAGTAATACTTTGTATTGATATTTTGTATTACTGATAATGAAAACTACCTGTTGCTTTGGAAATAAGTTTCAAGAAATATAAAAACATATTCTTCAATCTTAGAAGTGATGGGAATTTATACTAATGAAATAATCAAGAAGGGAAGGGGAAAAGCCACACACATAAAGCTACCACTGCAGTGTGACCGCAGGTGAGAACCCATGGATATAATTTAAATATCCAAATTTGGCAGCGCTGTGCTGTTATTGTAAAGTAGGGACTGTGAAGAATGCATACACTATGAAAGACACAGCAACACACCTTTAGACGGGGGTGACAATCACATCGCAAAGCGCAGGCCCAGCTAGTGGTGGTGTACCATATAGATACATATACCATACGTAATCTTTGTGGTAAGGAGAAAGAGGCATAAAGATCCTAATTTAAATGGTACATGTCCTCTGCCTACTGTTCTCCCTGAGAAGCATTTGCTTGGGAGAGGAAAGGAGAGAAGGAGGAAGCCTTGATTATTTGCACCTCTGTTTGGCTCTGGCTCTTGAAGCCATAGTCTTAGCCAAGCAGACACTCTGCTCCAAGACTGCCACTGGAACCCTAGTACTCTCAGCACACTTCCACCTCTTAGCATTGACCCCACCTAGCAGCCTCTCAGCTTGGCCACTCAGGTTTATAAGACCCCCGGCCCCCATACCAAACAGTGAAGCTGCAGTCACAGAGCAGCTGCCATTCTTCTGAGTCCAGCTTCCAGTAGAGGTGGGGTGAGTGTTGTGTTTTTAGGCAGGGAAGGAATCTGAATGTAGATGATTGATTGGAAAGGGGGGGGGGCCCACAGGGGAACCGGCTCCTGGGGGAATGCCAGCTCCTGGTCTTTCACAAAAGGAAGACAGAGTGGTGGCAGATCACCATTGAACCTCATGTACAGGGGGTTCACTGCTCTTCCCATCATCCACACAGCTAACCCTATGAACATCAAATCAACCAAGAATGAATAAGAACTGGGTCCTGATCCCTGTCCCACTGGGTGGCACAGGGGTTACTGCATTCTGTCCAATCAGTGAAGGGTCAGCACAGGGTATATAGGCAGAAGGGCTGTTGCTGATCAGCCCCAGAAAATCCTTGAAGGCAGGGAAAATGATGGCAGCCAGTGACTGACAGAAAGGACAGCCTAGGACCTGATGGGCATGACTGCACTAGGGCCTCTCCAGGGCTGACATGGAAGGCTGGCTCCTGCCAGGTGTGGATTTGTCAGTCAGAAGCCTTGTCCAGTTTAGCTTCCACCTTGAGGTCATGCTGTGACTGTCACTGAGGTAAGCCCCTCACCTTCATGTCTCCCTGGCTCCAGGCAGATTGGAGAACAGCTCTTGCCCACATGAAGGGTTCAAGTACCCATGCTTCAGAGAACACATATGCTTCAGACCAGACTGAGGTCTGTGAAGTGGGCAGAAAGTAGAGGAGGCACACAGTGGGGAGGCCTGGCTGATTGAGAGTTGCACCCGTGGCACTGTTGCCAACTGTAACATAGCTGAGCCATCACCCTGTTGAAGGCCCAGAAGCAGCAGAGCTACAGACCATAGGTGCGGCAGGAAGAGACCTTGAGGTGGATGACTGAGAGAAAAAGAAAGTCTCATTCCTACAGGCACAGGTGGAGCACACGCAGGGAGGGAAGGTAAGACAGATCAGCAGCTTCTAGATGTCAAGCTTCCTCTAAATCCATACATCCCAAGTTCGGCATTAACGTTCCTCCCTTTTGCAAATAAATAAATCAAAGCAGGAGACAATGACACTAGTAGGTCACTCAACCAGGAGGGGGATTGGACTGGACCCTGAGTCATGAAGCTGTAGGCTCTGGACATGCCCTTCCCTCTGCCCCAAGTGCCTGTGTGGTATCCATCAGCAGGAGCTCCCAGACTGAGGAACCACCAGCCAGGAGAAAAGCCACTCAGCCACCCACTGTGACAACCCCATGGCCTCACTGCAGACAGCATCTGGACCAGCCTGGGAGATGTGCTTAGTGGGGCTCGGTGTCACACTCACACTTACCATTCCTCAGCGATCCGTGCCTGGAGCTCTGGCAAGAGGAACTGCCAATGGAAGCGATAGATGGAGGAGATATTTGAGAAGATGCCTGTGGTGACCTCTGCAGGGATCCCAGCCTCTGTCAGCCTGGTGTAGAAGACCTGAAGACAAGGAGGCTCATGCTGAACACCTACTGAACTCAGGAGGGGTACTGCCTGGCCATTTTCTCAGGGAGCTGCAGAGTCACTTTCTTCCATTTCACTAAGCCAGTCCAAACACCTTTGGTCTTAGAGCAGGTAGATTCAGGGAAATTCACAGGGGGGAATGGGACAAAGCAGAGGGACTCACCTGTGCATGACCACACTTGGTGGGCAGGAGACCTCCCTTCCACTCACCTGCTTACCTGGGATGGAAAGTACATAGCTTCTTCCTGTGGTTTGTATGACACAAACAGGGGCAGCATACACTGTCAGACCCTGGATTTCCACTTGTGTGTTATTTCCTGTGCTTATAAACCCAGTGCTCCCCACTGTCCCAGCCACTGAGGCAGAATGGTTATCCACTTATCCAGAGACTACCTCTATGCTCAGATACTTTGACTGTCCCCAGGGATGATCCCCAAGGAGAGCCCCAAGTACTGGAAGCAAAAAACAGCATGTCTAAGCCAGACTAAATTTTATGCAAGCCTCAGTGTTAAGTGAGTCACACTCCACTTGTACCCTAGCATGTGATGGAGATAGGTGCCTCCTCTGCACTATGCTCATCCTCATCCCCTGGACAGCTTGGCACTCTACCTGGTCCAACAGGTGCAGTCGCTTCACATAGGCCTCCTCTGTGTGCAGGAGCTCTTGGGCAATGTTAAACAGCTGCTGGGGCTTGGAGCACTGGGGAAAGAAGAGAGCCACCTCACCTGGGGAATATGAAAGGTGGCAGCACAGACCAGGAACTGCCAGGTTCTGGGGCCATGGGGCAGAAAAGGTTGTTGGGGCCCAGTTGGTGTCTTCAGTTTTCACAGATGGGATTTCAAGGGCCATCTCCAGGAAGGCACACAGTTTCTGCCAAGCACAGAGCAGGCGTAGCAAAGCAGACACGATGCTGACCGCATATGCTCTGGCTGCAGGGCAGCACAGCAACTGCGTTAGAGCACAGCAGAGTAGGGGACATGTGGCACTAAGTCTTTGTCAAAACCCATTAGACTGTACACCACAGAGAAAACCCCTATGTGAACTATGGATTCTAGTTAAGGATAACGTATCAATACTGGTTAATCTAAGGAGCTCTGTTGGTATAATGGTGAAGGAATTTGGCTGCTGACCAAAAAGGTTGGTGGTTCAAACCTACAGCTGCTCAGTGGAAGAAAGGTGAGGCAGTCTGATTCTATAAAGATTTACAGTCTTGGAAACCCAATTGGGGTTACTATGAGTCAGAATCAACTCGATGGCAGTGATTTTGGTTTGTTTTTTTATTGTAACAAATGTACCACGGAAAGTAACATGTTAACAATAGAATGTTATTATTGTTAGGTGCCGTGGAGTCGTTTCCGACTCATAGTGACCCCATGCACAGCAGAACGAAACACTGCCCAATCTCGCACCAGCTCCATGATACCTGCTATACTTGAGCCCATCATTGCAGCCACCGTGTCAATCCATCTCGCTGAAGGCCTCCCCCTCTTTCATCAACCCTCCATCCTACCAAGCATGACATCCTTTTCTAGGGAATGGTCCCTTCTAACAGCATGACCAAAATAGGTGAGACGAAGTCTGGCCATTCTCACTTCCAAGGAGCATTTTAGGTGCACTTCCTCCAGGACAGATCTGTTAGTTCTTTTAGCAGTCCATGGTACTTTCAGCATTCTTCACCAGCACCACAACTCAAAAGCATCAACTCTTCTTCGGTCTTCCTTATTCATTGTCCAGCTCTCACATGCATACGAGGCGATTGGAAATATCATGGCCTGTGTCAGGCACACCTTAGTCCTCAAGGAGACAACCTTGCTCCTCAGCACTTGAAACAGTTCCTTTGTGGTTGACTTTCCCAATGCTACACAATGTCTAATGTCCTGGCTGCTGCTTCCATTGGCATCGATTGTAGAACCAAGCAATGTGAATTCTTTGACAACCTCAATCTTTTCTCCATTTATTGTGATGCTGCTCATTGGTCCAGTTGTGAGGATTTTTGTTTTCTTTATATTGAGACGTAATCCATACTGCAGACTGTATTCTTCAACTTTCATCAGTAAGTGCCTCACTTTCAGCAAGCAAAGTTATATCGTCTGCTTATCTCTGGTTGTTAATGATTCTTCCTCCAATCTTGATGCCATGTTTTTCTTCATATAGTCTAGCTTCTCGGATTATTTGCTCAGCATATAGATTGAATAAGTGTGGGGAAGGGATACAACCCTGATTCACTCCTTTCTTGATTTTAAACCATGTAGTGTTCCCTTGTTCCGTTCAAATGACAGCCTCCTGGTCAAGGTACAGGTTCCTCATGAGTATAATCAAGTGTTTGAGAATTCCCATTCTTCTCAAAGTTATCCATAATAAATAATATAATATAGAATAGTCAATAACCGTGTATATTAATTAGTGGCAAAACTGTGCAGAGGGGAGAGGGTATATGGGAGCTCTCTGTACTTTCTGTACAACTTTTCTGTAAACCTAAAACTCCTCTAAAAATACTCTACTAAAAAACCAAAGAACACTGCAACAAAAGATGGTCTTTCCAGGTCCGTTGTGATTGAGATGAAAAGCACAATGAAGTAACCAAGAAACAGATGGGCTCCCCTCTCTGGGGCTAGAGCTAGGCTTTCCTGCTTCCCTTTGAATCTGGATTTCCTATCTCTCCTCTGCAGAACCCCATTCCCTGTGCAATCCAGGGAAACAGGTATCTTCATTTCGCCTAAAAAAGCTAAGACATAAACCCATAAATCACCATGAAAATAGGACAGAGAAAATCACCACCAAAATAAGACAGAGAAAAAAAAACATCCAATCGTTAGAAGTCCTTCCACCACTCTAAACCCTTTTCTGCTGAGTTCCCCCAAGGCTCCTGCCTCCTGCTGCCTCCGATCCTTTTACTAGTAGGGGTGCTTGGCTGCCAAAGTGAACAAGTAGAACTGACCAGGGAGGTTTTGGAAAGCTGCGCTGGAGACACCTAGCAGTTGGCATAGCTCTCAGCTAGACTGTCCATGGATTGCCCTGGAAAGGTGAGGGCATGGAAGGTGTTTGGTGGGGCCCTACATGTGGCTTCTTTTAAAATACCTTCCTGCACAGTGGTTCTGTGAAGTTTAGGTGGCGTAGTACCTGAGGCATATGACTGCTAACCAGAAGGCTGGCGGTTCAAACTCACCAGCCACTCCTCAGAAGGAAGATTGAGCAATCTACTTCTGTAGAAACACCTCCTCAGAAACCCAAGGAGAGATCACTATGATTCGGAAATGGCAGTGAATCGGCAGTGAGTTTTTTTAAAGCAGACTAGAGCAGGAGTCAGCAAGCTTTTTTCTGTAAAGAGTCAGATAGATTTTTTTAGGCATTGCAGGCCATATGGTCTCTGTTGCAACAACTCAGCTCTGACATTCATTCATGAAAGTAGCCATAGACAAAATGTAAAGAAAAGATGTGGCTATGTTCTGATGAAACCTTACAAAAATTGCAGGGAGCTAGATTTGGCCCATGGCCATTTGCCAACCTATGGGCAAAAGTGCTGGTTTTGCATCTCTTGCTGTGCACCAGAATCAATTAGGAAAATAAAACACCTGGAGGGGCAGGACTCCCTCTAGAGAGTCCTTGCAAGGATGTCTATGGTGATCCTGATGCCTGTCAAAGCTCCTGGGTAACTTTGACACCTAGCATGGACTAAGAGCTATCACCCTCACTGATGGCAAGGTACACTATTTTGACCTTAGATTATTCTGGCCTTCTGAGATAATCCCCTCACTACATCTGGTTCATTCACTATAGCATCTATCTGGCCTTGGTGGCCCTTCAGTTTGAGACCCTCATTCTATATGCAGGCATATTTTTGTGTAGTAATAAGTGTGCCCTAGACCTTAACTCTGTATTCTTATATTTTTATTTAACACTCATTAGCAAATTTTTCTCCATATTTCTACTAGATGAAACAGAGCAGTGGAGCCAATAGGAACTGGGTCCCCTCTCTGATTCTGATACTCACTCTTTGTGACCTAGGTCAGGTGGCTCATTCCCTCGAGTGCATTTATCAGTTCTTTTGAATGAAGATATTGCTATTTGGACACAGAGAAACTTTGATTTCCAGGCAAGGTGCAGAGCTTCAGGTAAAAGGCTTCTAGACACAATATCCCACATCTATCTTCACTTTGTTACTTCCAAGGAAGTGGAGCTTAGGCCTGTTCTGCCACCCAGACAGTGTAAATGTGTGTGACCATTTACATATAACTCTGCTGTGCCTTGAGAATGAGCAAGCTCTACCTATCCAAATCCAATTCCATCTTCCTCTGTCCCAAATCCAACTCCACCTTCCCCTTCCTTTAGTGAGGTACCCTAAGCTCCTCTCTCTTTGGTCTCCCACATTGCAAACCCTTGACATAGTCAACTTCGTCATACTACAGGCTTGTCCTGGAAGTCTTGTACTGCCTAGGCTAGACAGAACCTCTGAGGACCCAGGAAGCAGCCCCAACACCCATCCTCCTTCCCTCCAAAACTGCTCCTGTGTTCTTCTTCCCTTGAGGACCCTAGACCCTCCCCCGCCTCCTGAGTGTCCATCACAATAGTAGTCCATTTTGAGTCCTCCCTCTTTCCTTTTGACACCCTCCCCATTGGTTGAGGTGGTCCATGGATCTGCCTTGGAAATAAAGACTGCTGGCTCTCTGTGTCCAAGTACCATACCTACTGTCCAAGCTTCCTCATTCCCTACCCAGCCACCCTCAGACCAGCCACAGTAAGCCTGAAGACGTCTACTCAGACCACTCCATGGCACCCTACCTGGCACAAGCCCATGTTCCTGACATTCCAGCTGCCTCATGATCCCAGCACTGCTACCCATTCCTCTCTGCCTCTCCCTGCCACCTCTTGTTGTGACAGTCAGCTCTTGTCACCCCTCCCTCCAGCAAGGGGTGCCTGGTCCTGCAGGATTCATGTGTATCCCCACTCTTTCCCTTAGGCCCCCAGGTACTTCAGCAACATTGTCTGTCCCCTAGTGGCCTGCCCAGAACTTTGGCCTATGTCCAGCTCCTGTGAGACTGCTGATGGCTGAGAACACTCCAGGTCTGTGCCTCACTTTCATCATCTCCACAACAGCCTTCTTCAAAGAGCAGGTATAAGAACTGAAGAATGACCTGGGAAGCCTGCTGCCTCCAGACAGGAGGGGCCCAGCAAAGTCTCCCTTAAAAAACAGTTTTAGTCAAGGAGTAAACTGGAGGGAGAGAGTGAGGAAAGGCGGGGGGGGGGGGGCGCAGTGCAGTTAAGAACAGTGGACTGCAGGGCAGGGCTGGGCATTGTGCAGGCAGGCAGAAATGGGGCAGCAGGGAGAGCCCACAGCTGGCTGCCTACTATCCTGCCACTAGATGGCAGCACCACCACATGGACCAGAGCATTCCTGCTGGACATACAAAATGAAACTGGGGGCCCTGTCCCACATCTCTTGGTGGAAAAAATTTTTGTCTGGGGTTTGCATTCTTCAGCCTATTCAAGCCTGAATAAGCCTGATTACTCCATGCACTTGTGCTGGTGAGCTAAGGCCAGAACCCTTGGCACAGCTCATTCCTTCCTTCAAAGGGCTTGGTTACGTGGTGACATTATACTAGGCAAAGACTGCCAAGTTTGAGGAGTTCCCATCAGAGGAAGGAGGGAGGTAGTTAGGGGAAAGGTGCTTGCATTGGGGAAAAGCAAGTGTCAGCCTGAGCCTTTGGTGGGCCTCACTGCCCAGGATGACTCACAGGGTTGGGGATGGCAAACAGTGGGGAAGGTGCCCTCTGAGAGACAGGAAGGGCAAAACCAAGGGAACAGAGGAAAGTACAATTAACATGTGACCAACCAAAAGGTCTGGGACCCAGAAGTCCAGCCAGCAGACCTGGGAGGGGCCAGGGAAACAAAACAAAACAGTAGCCTAACACTGTGGTTGGTGGGTTCCAACTCTTGGTAACCGCAAGTTGTTTCAGAGTAGAGCTGTGCTCCATAGGGTTTTCAATGGCTGCAATGGTATGGAAACAGATTGCCAGGGCTTTCGTCCAGGTGCCACCGGGTGGGTCCTTAGTGTCAAGCTTTCAGTTAGCAGTTGAGTACAAACTGTTTGTTCTACCCAGGGACCTGGAAGAGCTGAGGAGATATGGGGAGTTGGGGTGAGTAGACATCTTTGCCAGAGAAAGAGGTGGGGAAGAACCATGAGGAAAAAAAGGCCTTCAATCGAGAACATCACTTGACCCCTCTGGGCCTCCATTTCTCTGTCAGTGACCTACCTGGCATTCCTGGTACAGTTACTGCAGTTTACCCAGGAGAGAAATTAAAAATCCCAGGAAGCTAAGTCTGATTTGGTCTCAATTTTATTACTTAAACTTGAAAGGCAGTCCCAATCAATGAATCAATCAATAAACCACATGAGAGAATTCAGCTGAGATTCTGCCGAGAAAGGAGTATTTTTAGGGAAGGGGCCCAACCCCTCCATGTCTGTCTCCACATCGGCCTGGCCCAGTGCCTCAGTGTTGCTGTCCCTATGTGCTGTGTTGGCCCCAGACCACCTACAGGGCCAGGAGGTATGCTGCCTGAAGTGTTTCCTGAATGTCCTCTCCTTTCCTTGATGACATTTTAGCTCACCACATTGAGGTATAATGCCTTACAGTGAGCACACAACTGTCACCACCCATGTTGTTGTTGTTATGTGCCGTAGAGTTGGACCAGACTCATAGCGACCCCTCCTGGGTTTCCGAGGCAGTATCACTACGGAAGTACATTGCCCCATCTTCCTTCCAAGGTCACCACCCATATACCAAACCAAAATCCAAAACCAAACCCACTGCCATTGAGTGAATTCTGACTTGTAGTGACCCCCATTAGGTTTCCAAGGCTGTAAATCTTTATGGAAGCAGATTGACTCATCTTCCTTCTGTGGAGCAGCTGGTGGGTTTGAACCACCAACCTTCTGGTTAGCAGCCAAATGCTTTACCCACTCCACCACCAGAGCTCCTTTCTCTCCCACACATACCAATAAAATGCAACCACTGCCATGGAGTCAGATCCAACTCACAATGACCCCTCCTTGGGTTTCTGAGGTGGTATCACTATGGAAGTAGATTGCCCAACCTTCCTTCCAGGGAGTGGCTGGTGGGTTTGAACTGACAGACTTCTGGTTAGCAGTCAAATGCCTTAGGTATTATGCTACCAGAGCTCCCTCCCACATATACCAGGACGCTTCATTTTACTTGGCAAGTAAAGGTAGCTCAGCATCCTGGGCTCAGGCACATTGTCTCATCCTGGGATGTGTGGTGGATGGTGCTCTCACCAGCACCATGCAATGGAGAAGATGGTCAGAACATCTCCCCACCAGGGACAAGGTGTCACCTTTTGCCCTACAGACAGGAAGTGTGGGATAGAGCCTGTATGGGCAGGTGGGGGCAGAGCTGGGTCTGCATTTCTACCAACACCAAGGTGACATTGAGGTCAGAGTTCTAGTGGCACAACTTTGAGAAGCCATGGGGGTTGGCTTGTGGCAGCCCAACACCCTAGGCTGCCTTGCATCCACCAGGCTGGGCTCCTAACACCTATCACCTAGGAGCCAGCAGGCTGACCTCAACCACTTGTGGACTCCCAGGGGTATCCTCCCCATCCTCAGAGGTTTCTTTAAACTGGGCATGTGTTTTCTTTCACTGTCCCCATGGATCTCAGCACAGCACCTGAGCTTGAAAAGTACTAAAGAACAAACTTCCCCTTGAGGAGTATTTTGGGGAAGGCACTAGACTACGTATGGCTCCAGTTCACACTGATGCACCTGCTGCAGCAGGCATTTTGCTGCTCACCAGTGTGTGACTCCAGGCAAGTTCTAACCTCTCCCTGCCTGAATCTCTACATTTATAAAATAGGGTGATACAAGCACTCCTTTCTTGGTGGGGTTTTGCAAGTGCTCCATGTACTCATGCACTCAGAGCCCTCACCAAGGGCTATGGCTGCATCACAGCTACCAGTGAGACTGCACTATCATAACCATCCCAGGACTCTAGACTATTTTATCCACTTTGCAGATGTTGAGATTGACACTCAGGGAAGTAAGTCATTGGCCATGTCCCTAAAGGTTGGCCTGGCCCCTAGGCACATAGGTACCCCACCACCACCAATAGGGCCTTTTCTTGCAAGCCTGACAGCAAGGAGCTTCTCAAGTGGGCTGTGGTTGCATAAGCATGAGAAGAGAGTAACACACTCTGAGTTACACTTACCACAGTCACTGATCACTCCTCCAAGGAGAAACTGGGGTAAAGGACCGTGAGGCCTTACCTTGGCTGTTCCCATGTCCATGCCACCTGTCTGGAGGACAGTTTCTGGGTTAGATCCTTCACTGCTACCCTTGTCCATGTCACTGGTGGTGTCCTGTGGGGCATCCTGCGAGTCTGTCTCTGGGTGGAGCCCCAACATGACAGGGCTCTGGCTGGCCTTGCTCCCTTCCTTGCAGGGAAAGCTCTCGCTGGCCACACTGCAGGATGGGCTGTCGATCCCGCTGTCCCGGTTAGGGATTTTGCCACTGCTGCTCTGCTCATCTATGGTGCCTGTGTCCAGGAGGCCATCTCCAGTCCCTGCAGCCTGGATGCCAGGACTCTTGACAGCAAGGTCCCTGCAGACAGGAAGTTCTTGGAGCTTCCTGAGGTCTGTGAGCTGTGGCTCCATGGGCTGGAGTTCCCTGGTCTTAGCTTTTTCCTGAGAGGAGCTGCCAGGCCCAGTGTCCAGCACCCCTAGGGCAGCAACAGGTTCTGGGGAGATTGAGGAGCCCACACTTGACTCCATCCAAAAGCTGAGTTTGTCAGGCCCTGTGGATGGCTGACCAGGGGTTCCTGTGGAGAGAAAGAACTTGCTTAAGTTCTGCAGGCATTAGCTGAATGTGAGCAGGGCCCTGTGGGCTCCCAAGTGAAGGAAGGTGGTTCACTGGGGGCTTTCCAGGGAATATCTACATCAAGGAGACAGCCTGGGGCTGGGAGGCCATAGCATGTTTCCAGATGACATATCTGAACACTTGGGTGAGATTCAGTGGAATCCTTTCAGAAGATCACAAACAAAATATTTTATTTTGAAAATAAGTTTCTTCTACATTAGAAAAGAAATCCTGTAGTGTGAAACTATCTCCTGTTTAATAAGTTTAAATAACCTGCACAAAATAATAAATAACATGAATACAATGATTTCTGTTTATAAAGTAGTTTCGTATCCACTATTTCTTTGTGTTAATCCTCAGGACAATCCTACGATTTACCTATGAGGTAAAATATTGATACCATGTTCATCACAATCATCATACTATCACCATCACCATCATTACCATAATCATCATCACCACCATCATCATCCTCATCATCATCATTGTTATAATCACAATCACCACCACCACCATTATTATTATTATTATTATCATCACTATTGCAGTGTCAACGAGGAGCTCTGGTGGTATAGTGGCTAAAGCCATAAGGTCAGGGATTCAAACCCACCAGCTGCTCCACAGAAGGAACACTGGGTGATCTACTTCCATAAAGATTTACAGCCTTGGGAACCCAATGGGGATCGCTGTGAGTCAGAAATAACTCAAAGGCAGTGAGTTGTTCTTCTTCTTATTATTATTATTATTGCAGTGTCAAAACACCCTCACTGACTTTATTATCCTTCTTGTTACCCCTGTTCACCCAAAGACAGAGACCAAAATTTTTCCTCCAAATCCCAAGGATTTCTCCTCCCTGGACAAACTGAAGCTACTTTACACTTCCACCTGAAAGTCTTCTCGGAGGGAAAGACAAAGTGTTAATTCTAAGTGTACAGGGCATTTCACAGAACTTCAACTGAGGATTAAAAGGTATGAATGGACCAGAATGGACATTCATTGAAATGTCCCTCTTGAACCCACAGTGCAGCTGCAGAGGAGGATAAGGAACAAATCATTCTAAAGCATACAGACAATAACTTACTCATAAATGACAGGTTACCTGGCACCTTTGAACATTCCAATGGGGTTACTCCCTGTAGGCCACAGGTTCCTGAGGGTCTTGGGTTGGCTGGCAGAAGTTGTTGTGAGGCTGGAGGGATTAGTTGAAAATCTCTTAAGAAAGGAGATTTGAAGTGGAGTGGTTTAGGAGGTACTAGAATGAAAACCCATCCCTTCCAAATGGTATTTAGATTCTAGTGGGAGAGAGTAAAAGTTCTGTGTGACTACCAGTGGTAGCAAACTGAGGGGAACCATCCCAAGAGCAAGTCCTTTCTGGCTAACGCAGACATAGAAGTTCCAAGGTGGAAACAGTACAGCTGTTTCCTTGGCCCCCAGATGGACACAGCCCTGTGAAGGGCAGGGCAGGCAGCCATAGCAGTACACTCACAGAGATACATACTTTAAACATTCACATGCACTTACAGTAACTCACATTCTCACTCATGCAAAGCACAGTGATCCTGTGCAATGGAAAAGAAATGAGGTGAACCCTAGCTGACTTGCTGAAGACACTCCAGGCTATGGAGCAGAGAAGGGGAACAGGTAGAGCTCAGTGAACTCCTTGAGGTGAGGAGAAAAAGCTGAGAGTCCAGGAAGAGCAAGGAGGTAGAGTTCACAGGACAGAGTGCTGAGAGTAGAGAGCTCCACAGAGACAACTCAAAAGAAAGGATTTAGCTGAGTATTTTGCTGAGATCTCGTTGGAATATGTGTGTGAGGAAACTACCTAGGGTCAAGGAAAGAATCACCCAAGAAGAATAGAGAAAACAGTAACGGTAACTTTCATAGGGTCAGGAATAGTGCCTGTTCCTGAGGCAGAGTGAAAAATTTCATCACAGGGCCACTGAGTAGAGTACTCAGAAGGTTCTTGGCTCAGCAGTGGGTAACTGTTAACCCTACAGTGAGCATTGCTCTGGTTTTACCTAACCAATCTTAAAAGCAAGACCCAAAGAGATCAAATTGCTTCCAAATAGCTAAACTGTAGCCCTAATCAAAGTCCAAGGATATATATACAATAATAATAATAAAAAAAAAAAATCCCACTTCCATTGTCATCCAGTTGATTCTGACTCAAGCTGACCCTACAGGACAGAGTAGAACTGCCCCATAGAGTCTCCAAGGCTGTAAATCTTTATAGAAGCAGACAGCCTCATTTTTCTCCCTCTGAATGATTGGTAGATTCAACTGTTGACTTTTTTGGTTAGCAACCCAATGCTTTAACCACGGTGCCATAAAATTCCTTAGAAATATAAAATATCCAGAATCCAACAAGGTAAAATTTGCATCCAATTGAAAGTTGTCTGGCATACAAAGATGCAGGAATATACAACCCATATTAATGAGTGAAGTGATTAGTTGAAATTGACCCAAAACTGACACTGGTATTAGAGTTAGGGGGGAAAATGTAGGGAAAGAACATTAAAAGTTATTATATCTGTAATCTATTATGTTCAAAAGTTAAGCAGAGACATGGAAGATATAAAATGATTCAAATCAAATCTCTGGAGATGAAAATACAACATGTGAGATAAAAAATACACTGGAAGAGATTAAGGCAGATTAGACATTGTAGATGAAAATATTAATGAAATAGAAGAGTCATTAATAAAAACTATCTAAAATAAAATACAGAGAGAGAGAAGAGCATTAGTCAGAAGTTGGGAAACTCAAACAACATAATATATGTGTAATGAGAGACCCCCAATAAGAAATAAGTGAGAAAAATGTTTGAGGAACTAATAGCCAGAGTTTTTCCAGATTTGGTGAAAATTATAAATTCACAAATCTAAGAATCTCAACGAACACCAAGCACAATAAATATTTGTAGTTAAAAATGTTCCCACATAGAAAATCCAGGTTTAGATGGTTTCACTGGTGAATTCGACCCAACATTATTTGTTGTTGCTGTTAGGTGCCGTAGAGTTGGCTACAACTCATAGCAACCCTATGTACAATCAAACGAAACACTGCTCAGTAGTGTACCATCCTCACAACCTTTGCTATGTTTGAACCCATCATTGCAGCCACTGTGCTGCAATCCATCTTATTGAGGATCTTTCCCTTTTCTGCTGACTCTCTGCTTTACCAAGCGTGATATCCTTCTCCAGGAACTGGTTCTAACAACATAACTAAAGTAGGTGAGACAAAGTCTGGCCATTCTCACATCTAAGGAACACTCTGACTGTATTTCTTCCAAGGCAGATTTGTTTGTTCTTCTGGTAGTTCATGGTATTTTCAATATTCTTTGACAACACTACAGATCAAATGCATCAATTCTTCTTCAGTCTTCCTTATCCATTGTCCAGCTTTGACGTGCATATAAGGCTATTGAAAATACCATGGCATGGGTTAAAAAAAAACTCACTGCCATCAAGTTGGATCCGACTCATTGCGACCCCTTCTTGGGTTTGAACCGCCAGCCTTCTGGTAGTCAAATGCCTTAGGCACTATGCCGCACCTTAGTCTTCAGAATAACATCTTAAATAGGTCTTAAAAGATCTGCCCAGTGCAATATGTTGTCTGATTTCTTGACTGCTGCTTCCATGGATATTGATTATGGATCCAAGTAAAATGAAATCCTTAACAACTTCAATTTTTTTCTCCATTTATTGTAATGTTGTTTATTGGTCCAGTTGTGAGTATTTTTATTTTCTTTATGTTGAAGTGTAATCTACAGAGAACTCTTTGATTTTTGTCACTAAGTGCATCAAGTCATCTTCACTTTCAGCAAGCAAGGTTGTGTCATCTTTATATCACATGTTGTTAATGAGTTTTCCTCCAATCCTGATGCTGTGTTCTTCATGTAGTCCAACTTCCTGGATTATTTGCTCAGCATACAGATTGAATAAGCTTTGTGAAAAGACACAACCCTGATGCTCATCATTCCTGATTTGAAACCATGCAGTATCCCCCTGTTCTGTTCAAACAACTGTCTGTTGGCAGTTGTACAGTTTCCTCATGAACACAATTAAATATTCTGGAATTTCCATTCTTCACAATGTTATTCATAATTTGTTATGATCCACACAGACAATGTCTTTTGCATAATCAATAAAACACAGGTAAACATCTTCCTAGTATTCTTTGTTTTCAGCCAAGATCAATCTGACATCAGCAATGACATCACATCCCTTGTTTCACACTCTTCTTTTTCCCATCCTTTGCACATCCCACATTTAAGGAAGAAATATACAAATCTTTTCAGGAAATTGAAAATGAGAGAATACTTCTCAATAGTATGGATTAGTGCCAAGGGAAAGAAGTCAGACAAAAAAAAGAGCAATTACCATACTTATGGTAGTTCTTTAAAATGCTTCTTTAAAAATGCAAAGTAATCTATAGTGCTCATAAGCAGATCAGTGGTTGCCTGGATTGCCTGGAGAGGGATTTTGGGAGGGGCAGGAGTAAGGGATTGCAAAGGGGCCCAAAGAAACTCAAGTTGATATATATGTTCATTATCTTGATTGTGGTGATGGTTTTATGGATATAGATGTGTGTCCAAACTTATTAAATTGTTTTAAAAATGTACAGTTTATACCTGTCTATTACATTTTAATAAAGCTATTTTTAAAAAATCCTACCTCAGCCCATGTGCCAACTTAGTGAGTTGCTTACATTCCCTGAGGGTCCTTTCCCTTAATAGGAAAGGAGTGATGGCGCCTATAGTGATGATTGGTGTTCAGAAGGCTCTCTGCCAGGGATGACTCAGGCTGTGTCAGGGTTGTCTTCATCTGGAGGAGGATACACTGTGGTCTGTGATGGTTCTTGAAATGATGACCATCTCTTCTCCAAAGGGCTTTTGTGAAGAGTATGGTGTCAG